GATGTGAATTTCATTAGTTATACTCTTTTCTCAACCGTACTTCAGGTTATTACATTTTTTCAAGGTAGATTTCGCCAATCAAATATTTTACCGAGCGGGTCAAAGCCAGCACTTTTCACTTCCCCCTTCCGCCCTCTCTTGAACGTGTCCGCTCCTGCCAGTTGCTCCGTCCGGGGAAACAGGCTTTTCGCTTCCCATGCAGTGTACTGAAGCGTCCTGCCTTCGTCTTTGATAATCGCGATCGTACGAATGGATGTCCCTGTTCTGAGAAGAATCAAATTTGTTACCGCGAGCCTGTGACTGATACTTCGCGGGTCAAATTCCATTTAGGTGCAATAAATTTGCTGGATGTGCTTAACATCAATTGGAATCGAGGTATTAGGTTGACAGAAGTGAGACGAGTCGGGTTCCCGATCGTTTTCAACTCGTGGTGTCCTAGTACAGATGTTGCATTATATTTCAAGTTCAAATTTCCGTCTTCTCGCGAATTACAGTTTACAGGAATGAATATTGCAACAGAATTCCCTACGAACCTACTCGTACTTTAGTTTATTATACGAAATCATCCGATGGAGCTTTCACTATGAACTGCTTCGTGGTTTCTACTTGATGGATGGCTAGCGTCCGCGAATTGCAACGAAATTATATTTGATAACACTAGCGAATATGTAACTATTTTTTCTTCTTTAGAGTAAATCAGTGGTCAGTGTGTACAAACGGGTAATTGCTGTTAGATAAACCCTCATTAAGAGTGTGGTTTAGGAACTGCTAACACCCCAAATATTTCTTGCGCCGTTTATGCTATTTATATGCGATTTTGAGCACTCGATAGATGGCGTAGGAGTGCTCACGATGAAGTACCCGATTGGCTTCCAACGCGTTCGAGGCATTTCAAGGGGAGTGAGTGGCGCAGAGACCCTGTTCAGGGCTGTCTCACGCTGGGTCGCGAAGCGTAATGTAACGCATAAGAGTACCGAAGCACTTGTTCAAATAAAGCGATACTTATACATGTGAATTTATTGTCTCAATTTTAAAACTATTCTGTGGAAGAATTCTATCGTCCCGTTTGGGGGGGGGAAGAAGAAATGATAATGATGATGATGATGATGATAATTATGATTATGATGAAGAAGAAATCCCTAAAATATCCCCGCAGCGAAAGTGTTAGGATCCAATAAAGTACATCAACGTGGTACCTCTTCGCCCCCCAATTAAATGCGTTAAACTACTTTTCGATGTCTTAATCGCAATATTTGGGTTGTGAATGATTAATACTATCGAGTTGGGATGCCCTGTTTGCAGAAAATGACATCAAATATCCGAAATGTTTGTGTCTCTCTTGCCATTCCTTTGCGAGGCGGTGCGTTTGGATGAGGAGTGGCGGGGGGAGGGGAGGGACGGGTCCGTGCGTGCGGAGCCGGCACGCGCCCGCGTGGGAGGGAAGCCGCCTGTTCACCTTCGGCTGTCGGATCTCCGCACGCAGCGCAATGGCGCCGGCGAAGCTCCGGATCTTCTGTCACTAGGAAACAGTTTGAAGGTGTTAGCGGGTGCCTGGGATTCAGATGAATTATATCGTGAGAGTAATAAAAATGTGTATTGCTCGTTTATATGGAAAATTGTGGGCGTTTTATAGAAAATGCTTTGAGGTTAATGAATTGACCTTTTACCTTCTTGCCTACCACGCACGTAAAGATAATCTACTAAAGTAATGCAGAGGAAAGTAGCGCTTTTCATTAAAAAAACTCGTATTGTGTACCCTGTTATCGAAAAAGTCGATAAATTTTATTGATGCATGTAGTATATCACGTGTAATCACTATCTACGTTTTGGAAATGTTGATACCGATAAACTGGTTAATTGCGAAACGACTCTCTGCTTGTCTGTGGTCTACACTTGAATCTAAACTGTTCAGTCGATATTCTGTAACATTGATATTCCCTGATAGATCAGACCATGCTGAATGCTCTGCGTATTTCAAAAGGCTAATTAGTAGATTTTTAGGAAGTTCTGTGCATAAAACCTCGACAAGATTTTTTACAAAATTTTCTCCAAAAAGGCTTAGAAGTGTGAAAATAATTTACGAAATTATCAAATACGGCTTCATATTTTTTCTTTATTTTTTTTCTCAATTAGAACAAAGTAGACTTTTTAAAACTTATAAAGATTTCATTTTGTTCAACTTTCTGAATTTTTGAAAATTGCAAAAGTTACAAATAATGCAAGAAGTTATTGGCTGTGGTGCAGCACCACTATTTTTTTCTTAGTGTGTTCTGCGATCCAACAATTGTCATTCCCAGAAAATGCTCGCGTGCCTTTATTTTTTTTTAAATACAGTACAATCAAATGCTTCCTTAGTACCTAATTGCTTACATTGCTTACAGGATTTAAAATCTGCCAACGTTTCATTGTAGAGATCTCAATTTAACTATGAGCATTACATCGGGCATCAATAACTCATAACTTAATTAATCATGACTGAAATATTTACAACTTCATATGAAAATTGAGATGTGGGAAAGTGGATAAAATGAGCGTTGCAAAGAAGAAAAGTAATTAACTTCATACGTACTTATAATTTATTGCTAAATTGAAATCACACTTGTATTTTTCTTCCTCTCTTCCATGAAATTGACCTTAACTTCTCCAGCCTGTGTAAGCTAGTCTCCGTTTCTGGAAATTCATAATACAGCGAGTCTTATGATTTCCTTCATGTAGAAATATCAACATTACATACGAATTCTCCGGCAGTGATATCATTTAACATTACATTTTTTACAAATTTTGTAATTGAAACCTACAGAAACTCGGATCGCCACCTTCCAAATCCAAATTCCCTTGCAGCACAATAGTTGGTCTGTGCCCTCCACCGCGCGTGCGATGCCTTCGCGCGCACTTCGTGTCGGCTGCGAGCGTGCGTGCGTGCGCCTTGTTTATTTTTCTCATTATCGACGCCCCTCCCGGTGGCAGCTACAGCCCGCTCCCCTATGTGTTCCCCCTCCACACACACCCACACACACACGCAGCGCCGCCAGAAAGGGTCTACGCCGTTGAGAAATTCTTTAGCGAACGTTTCTGTTTGCGAACGTGTCGCTTCTACGCCTCGGCTGCTTCACGTCTCAATTCGTCCACCGCCTACTTCAGGTTCTTTGTATTCCGAGGCTGTAAAGCTTTGCTACGTGACTACACGTTTTCCTTCACTTAAGTCGAGCCACTGGCGAAATCTTCCGTTTCCCAGTTGACGGTTTACAATTTTCCGTCCCATAACGAGCTACGTCTTGCTTTCGTTTGTTTTTCGTTTATGTTACCATTTCCACCTCTTCCACTTCCGCCATTTAGTGAGTTTTGTATTTGGGCGCGTCAACTTGTACTTTTGTTATTAGTTTCGTGAGCGTACTGCATATTTTAGGCGGGAGCTGGCATTGTTTCTCCCCTGCTGAAAGGGTGATCGACGCCGACCTGTACGTACGTACGTTCATACATACATACATACATACATAGTTACATACGTACTTACTTACTTACTGACTGACTGACTGACTGACATGGTTTCCCTCCTCCAGGTATTTCCCCCAGTGGGGAAACTGCCTCTGACGGGCCAATGTTTACAAGCTTTGAGCTCCCGACCGGTTTGCACTTGTGTGTATGTGTGTGTATGTATGTGAGAGGGGAGAGAAGGGGACAAGGATGGGGAAAGATGATCGCGCGCTGTCTGTGGCGCGTTTGTTACTGCACTATTCTGACATTCGCGTAGTATTTCTGGGAAGACAGTGAAAAGTAAATTATCAGATCAACTGTCTATGAGTATTCTCCTTCAGTCAGCTGCTGAATTCTACCAGAATATCTGGCTAGGGGCGAAAATCCGCGAGCGTATGAACTTGAAACCTAGGATCTACCGATCAGATAACCTGTGACGTGAACGTTGATGCATTGATCCATCTCATACCCCCTTCCCCCGATTAATGCTCGTCATTCGGAGCACATTGTTGTTCACATCCACGTCCCAGCCGTACGTATTATCCCGTGCACGGGCGCCGTGCCTCTCCGCTCCGCCCCGTCCTCGTTTGCATTCCTGGCCGCGCGCGCCCGCGTCGTAGTATCTGCGTGCGGAGGCGCTCTCCGGTCCCATCGTCCGCCCGGCCGCACCCACGCATCCGCCTCCCACGCCCCCGCCCCCGCATTCTTCGCCTTCCCGCCGCCGCCGCACACTGCGCCGAACGGCGCGCGGGGAAAGGAAAAAAATAAGATTTGTCGCTTGAATACGCGCGCTCGGGAGGCAGCTCGCCCCAATGACAAGGACTTTCTAAGTTATTACGTGGCTGGTAGTCAAGGACCATTTATTAGTAAGGCTTGTGGCGCTGAGTTTGATGAAAAATGTTTTGAATTCAATAGTTGTCATTTTCTCTATTAGTTGTTAAACGCGTTAGGCGAACTAGCTCTCTCTATTTTGTGTTAAAGCGTCTTTCTACGTCATTTTTCGTAATTCGGTGTTATAACAGGAAAACTGTTTCTTGATCACTGGGTGCGAGTTACATAAAAACCCGTCGAATGCTGAATTTGAGACGTTGTGGTGTCGTTTTCTTCTGTGGACATTTGCAGCAGAAGGAACGCCAGGAAATGGAATGCAGATAACGATATGGAGTGGGAACGAGGAAATAGAATGATGACGAGGAAGGAAAGTGATAGCGAGGAAGTGGAATAATGATGAGGAATGACGGCACGTGTAAAACGAATATATTTACGGTGCAAAACCAAACGCCTTCGTGCAAACGCAAACGCAAACGCAAGCCCTGCAGCGCTCGCATTCGGATCGGCCGTTTCTCCCACTGTGCACTGCCTCCCGCGCGGCGCGAAGACCGGTCCGCTTCCTTTGGGACTCGGCGGTGTTGGCGGCGGCGGCGTTACGTGACCCTCACACGTGACCGCGGCGCGAGGCCGGCGGCGGCGGCGGCGGGGGTCAGCAGGTGCCGGGCGGGCGACGTACAACCACAACCACCTCCACCGCGGCGCCAGTCTTGTGCGCGGCGCTTGCGGCTCGGTTCGGTTCTGCTCGGCACGGTGCAGCGACGCCTGCTGCCCGGCGCGAGGGCGGGCGAGTCTCCTCCGGCCCGGGAGAGCGCCTGCGACCGAAGCCATGCAGGCTACCGCCGCCGTGCAGGCCACCGCCCTGCACGCCGCCGCCATGGTGCTGTACCCGGGCGTGCTCGTCTCGGCGACGGGCAGCCGCACGCCCGTGCTCGTCTCCATCCGATGTGAGTGCGAGGGCGCGTGCCGGGCGTGCGCGGCGCGTAGAGCGCTCGGACGGGCCGTGGCGTGGCTGGTCGCTGTTGACGGCGCGTGGGGGCGTGGCCTGGCGATAAATCGTTCTCAAGTTGACTTTCTTCAGCACCCGCGTGTGATTTATATGGGCATCCTTTTAACAAACGAAATATTATTTATAACAAAGCTGTAAGCTTCGTTGACATTTTGAATACAAGTTTTCGATTATTGCATTCTCATGGCAGTTATTCGTTAAGTCATTTTTCAAATCCAAGTGAAGTCAGGCATACCTCAGTTCATGCTTCATGTTCGAGTGTTTCTTCTGTACAATATTGCTATGTAGGAAATCCTCCATGGAAACGTTAGCATGTCCACCTCAAATGCTTGCGACAGGCCCCGATTCGTTCCTGGCTTCGGCCTGTGGATACATTCATGGGAACTAAGAGGTTCCGAGCAACCAGTATAAAAAGTTGTTTCTCCTCGTCGTAATTCTCCTGTCTTGATTATTTTTTAATTGTTGGCTGTGCATCGTAACAGCCTTGATGACGGCACTTCTGATGAAGGATTTCTATTTGAAAAACGAAACATCCAAAAATGGTTAAGTAATTCAAGTTGGTGGAGAACATTCAGAATATTTTATCCAACTGAAAATTTCTTCTATAATGTAATGTTATTTTAGATTAGAGGTTTATCCGAGTTTCGCTTTTATATTTTGTATAATTCTGGATTCTTTGGATCAGTGTCGTAATACATTTTGTGTTACTCGTTTGAATGATTTTCATAAATTTATTGATGTGGGTCTGAAGATTTTAATCATCGCATTTTGAGGTGGAAGTTTATCAGTGATAGTAAACGCGTGCAGTGGAATGCTCGACAAATGAACGATTCCTCGACGATGCGCTTGCCCAGTTGGAAAGTGATCTGGCATGTAGCTTCGAACGCGTTTGTCTTCCGAAAGAAAGCAGTTCGCACACGCCAACTTTCACCCGTATTCACTGCAATTTGATGGTTGCTTTTATGAAGTGACTATGTCGATCATTTTTATGGGATTTGGGGAAGATAAAGATATTAACCTCCGGATTATTCCTAGCATTTTTGGAGAAGTGTTTCTGCCCCTTGTCATTTTTCATTATTTTCACTTTTAGAATTAAATTTCACTTTTATACTCTATTTTCAAACTGAAATAAATGAAATCACGAGAGGTAATCAAGTTCTTGGTCCATCCATTAAGAAAACGAGAATTGCTTCCCGTCGTGAATCGATCATGAGCTCATTCAAATTGGAGAAGGCGCCGTCTGGTTGAGAATACATAGTTCATACAGAACTAATTTGGGTCGTAGATGCCGTTCCTATTGCTGCGACAGCATGGCCTTTGTTCTGACAAACACAACTAGACGCGCACGGGCTTACACACACAAAACACCCTCTCTTTGGCAAAGTTTACAGTGTCCTCATACTCTTGACCTCTTCCCTAGAATAGGATTCACAGTAATTGAAATTAAACTCCTCTGAAAGTGAGCTGTCCTACGTTTGTGCTCCCGGAGAGCCACCTCTGCGCTATTGCTTATCGATGAAGTAGACAGTGCTAATCTTTCTATGCCGACAGCGCTGAAGAATAGCATAGGCATGAACGTGGGGTTTTATGATCAAACAATTTAAAATGGAATTGAGACCCAATTTAATTATAAAATCGACAAACATGTGCTAGATCAATTCACTGATAAGAATTAAATTAAACTATAATTGAAACTGAGAGGGTATTTAGCGTTTCGACTTCGACGGACGTATCCCGGTGTAGTTTATAGACCGAAGGTGGTCGCTGGAGCTTGACATCCGGTGCCAATCTACATAAGGGGTTGCTGGATTTTCCCTTCCAGGTAACTGCTACGAGTATAGCTCTAACGTCTGGACTCCCGATGTTTGTGCTAGTTTGGCGCATGTAAGTGTAAGTGTGTGCAAATGGATGAGGAGGGACAAGGAGAGGAAATAATTACGGGTGGATCATGGCCCGTTTATTAGGGTACTGCTCCGTCATTCGTCTGGTATTAATCGTAGACACCATTTGAAATTACTGATCAGAGCAGCCGGCCGCTAGAATTCTCCTAAAAACAGCGGCTGAATTTGACCCAGCTATCCAGCTAGTGACGAAAATGCCCCTTCGTCAAGACTCGAAACGTAGGACCCACCAGTCAGCAGAACTGCTCCGGCGACGGATATTGTCAGTTTGCCATCTCAGTCGGTAATCAGCATTCAAAAAAGTTTCAACATTACCCACAGTATCACGATTCTCACAAGACTTTCGAGGAAATGTTTACCACAACAAGCACGGCAATATTTATGTTCGAAACATTGGGGGAAAAATGCCGATTCATTAACGAAGCCCTCCGCGTCCTGCTGTGCTGAAGGGGCCTCCGGGCAAGTGGCCAGCAGCCTGCGGCGTTAAGGCTGTCCGCTCGCTGGCTGAGTGCCGCCCGTAACTCGCGCTAATAAGGATGAGTGAATGCGCCAATGTTGCACGAGCTCACGTCATTGATTTCCGCTTTCGTAATAGGTGCTGTAACGTTCTTAGAGGGGGTGGTTCACGATACCGCTCCGGCTGGAGATTTTGCGAGACAGTTTGAAATTTACGGCTGTTATCCGGCAATTCAAATGCTTTCCTTTTAAAAAGTGTCATGTTTTCAAGTACTAATGCACATGAGAGCCTTGCTAGCAAGCCAAAGAAGGCTAATACATCGACATAACAATGTTGGAATGACAGTGTTAGAATGTTCTGAAATTCCAGATGACAAGAAACTGAAGTTAGTTAATTTTCGATGTCGTTCTTTACTGTCCTTTGTAGCAATTTCCACTGCAAAAATTAATGAATAATGAACATTACATAGTATGTTCTGTTCCTGTCAAATTGCGACTATCATCGCAACAGTATCCTAAATAACATGCTCCATGAAAATATTTTACTAGAACACATAATAGTGTTTTTCCAATACGTTATGACAAATACCCCCATAACTAAGATTATCTCGTAACATGGACCGGGAGAGGTGGCTCAGTGCATCAACTGATGTCACTGCAGCCTCTCTGACCGGGATGTCCTAGTTTCGAGTCTCGACAGTATCAAGCTTGTCACTAGCTAGTCAGCTAGGTCAAATTCAGTCGCGGTCTTGAGGAGTGTTCTAGAGACAGACTGATCTGATCGGTAGTTTTCTGTTGGTTTTCCGATCAATACCCATCGAATGCCGGAGCAGTACCCTAACAAGCGGGCGCGCGATCTTTCCGTCCTCTTACTTGACCTATCCTCACCCCTCTCGCACTCCTATACTAACGTGCACTGGACTACCACACGTGCCGCGAGAGCTTAGAGCTTGTCCCAGCTGGGGCGCTGCCCAGCTGCTGGGAGATATCTTGTTGTGGGAAACCCCGCTAACCGACGGTAGGTCGGCGCCGGATCCCACCATCCAGCGGGGGAAGATACCCGCCACCTCCCGAGGAAAAACATAAAAACATCACTAACAACCAATCAATTGGAGCATGGTGAAATTATAACGTGCACAGGAATTATGATTTTGTTTCTGATTCCCTGGGTTGTTTGACAGAGAAACGCATGGTAGAATACCCATCGTTTCGTACCGAATTAATATGAGTAAAGAAAAAACAGTATTCTCTGTTATTCTTAAATTTATTGACTGACTTTCTTGAGTTGGATACCTAATATTGAGAGCTGTGAAGAGTTGGGGACAACAGTCTTATTTCGATGACATTTCTTCCTCAATTTGGAAATTGATTACTGCTGTTCCTCATTATGTTTCGTTTTTCAAAGTCATCTGTATTCCAAAAACAAATGGCAGGACCGAGGAACAGTGGTTTCGCAATCCTTTGCTTTCCGGCTTGTGTGGACGGAACAAACAAGATGGCCACGCGCGCACTTGAAACGCGTGGCTCTTGTTTGTCGAAAGCGGGTATTATCTGCAAACGAGCTCTCCCGTATATCATGACGAGGTCGGCTTCTGAGCATGCCCACTGACGATGGGTCTTGGCTTTTTTTATGTCATTGTTTCGAATGCGAACTTCAAAGGAAACAATTCAACTTTTGGGCGGCGGACGGCGCGGCTAGTTCGTTGATTGTCACACCTGCATTAATGTACGCTTCCAACAGCGCTGTTGTTCTACTTGCATTCCTGGTATGTGCACACTACCAGCTGTCTTTGCCAATCAAGAGACAAATATGCTATCGGTTGTGTTATCTTCCCCTCACCGTTGCTGTCTTATGACACGCGGAAGACATCGGAAGGAAAAACTTTGTTCAATATTTCGCAATGTAGATAACCGTACGAGTTAAATGCCTAACTCTATATCACATGGAATCTACATGCAGATTATGCTTAATTAAATATATTATAAAATACAGATAATATTATCAATAAGAGGCATGCAATGTGGGCAAAAGAGATTGAACTCTTGTAATGGCTCCTAAAAACGACTAGTGGCATCTCACACATACCATTAGATATTTATTATTAGAAGGTGGATTTTGATGACCTAAATCATCGCCAAAAGATCAATAAAATGCTCTTAAAATGTTTTAAAATGCACTAAAACCAAAGATAAATGAAGTAAAAAATGTGATCAAACCCATTTCGGATGAACAATTGAAGCTGTTGGGTACGTTACTGATGTAATCGTAGCTTCTTCTATTCTTTCAAGTGAACTCAGCTTGCAAACTTTTGGGTGAAATGTTCGTTTCCAGGAAATATGTTTTTTATTTATCCCGAAAAGGCTGAACCGACAAAGACGCTGATAGGCGTCACAGAAACCTTATATTACATATTACATCGGCTGACATTACCATATCTGAGCGAAGGAATCGAATACGCTACTCAACAATTCTGTGGAGAACATTTGTTTCATCTTGTAAATATTACTTCAAGCAAATATCATTAAAATGATATTAAAATCGATGAAATCGCCGAAAAATATTTTAAAAATAACGAGAAAAATGTTAAAAAAGACTTATTAGTCGAAATCGACGGAAAATGCAAAAACAATTACGTATAAAAATGAGATATTTCCTTTTGTCATATCATATAATTGTCCTAATTTCTATTGTACTAATTCCTGTACTAATTGTACTAATTAGTAATTGTAATAATTCTCTAATTTCTGTACTAAATGGCATTGCTTAATAGTGAAAAGAAAACAATGACATTTCATTAAAATCCGCGCCCTACTTACCATCCTTCACTTTGACATAACTTAGCGTGTAATTTCCTTCCCCCTCGATCAATTCCCGTTAGTGAAATACACGCGGATTGTTCTCAGGCCGGGAATTCTGCACGCAGATTGTTATCAGGGCTGTTTCATTAGGGGTCCACGAGGTACCCTGAACCAATCGCGACCTCCGCGAAAACTTTCCACATCTAGATCCAGGAATTAACTGGATTGGAAGGCTCCTTGTCTCTGGAGAGCTTCAGACTGGGAGCTCCTCCTGTTTGAGTCCCCACCATGGCGGATTTTGGACTCTGGCTATTCAGCTAGGTCGAATTCAACCAGTCAGTGGTCGATGGTTTTCTGTGTTTTCTCCGATTAATAGTAGGCGTGCCTTAAGAAAAGGGCCACGGACCGACTCTTGTCTCCTCTTCCCTTACTCAAACACACTCAAATACACGATTGCATGCGCTACACTAACACACACGTCGGGAGACCAGTCGGGTACTCAGAGTGTAACACGAAAAAAGGTTCCTAACTTTACACCCACATGTTAGAGTGACGCTAAGCTGGATTACTCTAGGGTCAGTTTCGCCTTGTGTTTGATTCTTCAGACGCGGATTTCACTCCGCGTGACCGATGTTTTAACACCTAGTACCTGCGAGCGTGGCTGCGGGAAACGTGTTTCACTATCAGGAGCTACATGACCGCCATCACCACTCGTATCCTTCATCGCATTCATAAATTTCCCAATATAGCTGCATTGCTGGAATTACCCAGCTATAAACGACGGGCTAAACTAGTGGCGGCGGACTCGCGTCTCCGCCTGGCGAACACAAATAGAGGACCTTCGTCCCGCGCGGGCGGACAAAGGCGGCGCCCCGGGCACCTTGGCGCGTCCTCCGGAGGTCTCTCTCGCGCGGCCTTGGGAGGTCGCGCGCCGCGCCGCGCCGCGCCGCTCCCTGCCGGACGCGAGGTCGCCGCCGCCGGCGCGGCCCGGTGGGCGTGCGTTATTGGATCGCGTCTCTCTCGTAATGCAATGCGGCGTGGACTGCGAGCAATGGTTCTTTCTCAACGGGTGGAAGAGAGAAACGTTCTCGTCGCGTATTTCCTTCCTCTGAATGTAATTACCATGTTCATTTGTTTGTTTGTTTTTTACTGATTCGTTATTGCTTCTTATTGCCTTCGATACGGAGCTCGATATTCACTGCCTGACTTACCTGGATCGAAAGGTTCGAAGTGACGAGGGAAGTATGAAAACGGGATGAATGATGCTGCATGTTCTCTTATGCAGGGAGTTACGAGAGGGAATTATGGAATGAAAATATGAAATGAGTCAAGTTAACTAGTTAATTAGTAAATAAGTAAATATGAATTAAAAATTATAATTAAAATTAAATAATAAAATAATTATAATTAAAAATGTAATAATGTATGTATCATGGGCGTTAACAGGTTCTAATGATCTCGATCTACAAAAAGTCCTCGCGCTCGATCATTAGGACCTTTATAACGCCCTTGGTGCATAAATAACTATTTCTTTGATGTTCGAAGGAAAATATATAATAATATAATGTTTAGTTGGTGGCTATTGGTAGTATTACGTTGATCGAGTTTAAAATTGCGCACGATATTATGGCGAAGTCCCTCGTGTGCTATCGTCTGTATATCACTGCGCCTGCAGCCTGCGGCCAAGAGACGAAACCTATTGATGGGGTGTTAAAGCTCTAGAAAGGAACATCACCTCTCTTGATCTACAATATCCTGGCATGACTTTCAACTGCATCATCGTGTGACCACGTGGGCACAATCCGGCAAGAGTAAGGACGGGACTAGACCATTTAGCGCACTGTGTAATCCCACAACGACCCCTGGCGAAAGCCCTTGCGTACGGGGCATCAAAACCAACGTTACCTTCTCTCATATTCCATCGCAAGTCGATGCATAAAATCTAATTTGTTTGCATGTTTATGAAATTAACTTCTTTGGCATTTCTCTTAAGAAAAGCGTATGAGCCTCCACTGATGGCCAGGGATTTCCAGAAACGGAGAAACATCCGGAATTAAAAGTATCTGTTATTTCGCAAAGGTATGCGCTTTTAGGAAAACGCCACATCTTTGGGTAATTGATGTAACAGAATAAAACCTCAGATTTCATTTCCGAATAACGGATTTGTGGTGTTTTCGCGTATCGGCAACTGAAATGTATGTTATTCAGGTTAAAGTGGTGAGCTTAACTCACTTTCTCAAAGATTGGAGATGCGATCTTTTCGGAATAACTGATTCAACTGTGTGATAGATGATTAGGTATGTCTGGTGGTAGTAATGACGAAGATGCAGAAATTGAGTGAAAGGCTGGGTGACGAGTGATCCAGAAGCATTAGAAAGGAGCAATTGAAGATCTGCCTTTAGGATAGTAATCCTGACAGAAAAGGAGAGTTGGGCATTTAGTTAATATACTGGGTGGTCGTTTCTTTGAAATCTCGTATGTCAGGGAATTTTACTACATTTAACGATTTCCAAAGAGAACCTTTGAGTTTTAAACAACTCTAGGTTAGGACACCTGTTTCAGTTTTTTTATATGCCTCTAAGATGAAGTTGAAAGAGTACATTACCGTTGTAAATTCGATTTTTGACTTAAATTTAACCTCAGACATCAGGCATGTAGTAATTTAGATTGGTGGAAATCTTAACAGGATTGGACAGGTGAAATCTACTGCATTTAGTAAATTTCTATCTCTTAGAGGAATCTTCCTTTATGATCGTTAGATCGATAGATTCAGTGCCCGTTTCCGTCGCCCGTGAATTAAATTGGAAGTGTGGATGCGGAAGAAAACGCTTAATGGTTACAACGTCTCAGTATACAATCGCAGCAATAACGTTTACTGCTTGTACGAGCGGCGTCAAGGCGTCAACGCTCGTCGACCACGGCCGCACGCAGCGAGCGCCTCGCGCAGCCAAGGCGCCGACGCCGACGCCGCGGAAGGAGGCCGCGGGGCGGCGCGGGGAACGAGGGGCGAAAACCGTCACAGGCGCTTTACGACTTTCGGGCGCCGCGCCTGCGGGAAGGTCGCCCGCCCGACGATCGGAGCGTCCTCTGCCACGCGACGCGGAGGACAAAAGCCCCCCGCCGTGCGAGGACGAACTGCTGCTGGGCTGGAATCTGAATTACGGCTTTACGACCTCGCTGCGGAATGGTGGACAGGATCGTATTGCAGGTTTCTGTTCCGTTTCCTGGGTCGTTTGGCTCGCGAAAAAAGTTATGTGCTCATTTTTTCCCTTGGGGTTGTTTCAGTAGGTTACTGTGTCAAATATGTACCTTTAGCTTAATAAAGAATTTTAGCGTGACTGTTGTAGGTGTTATAATGTGTAAACTTAATGAAACCTAGTAAGGAAAAGGCTGGGCCGCTATTGTATCAGAACCTCTAAAATTCCTTCTCCAGAAATATTGATAAAAATTGAGCGTTTCCAGGAAGGTTACTTTCTGGGTAGAACTCTGCCGCGATTTGACTAGCTTTCATTTGAGATAATACGCGGAAAGATGTCAATATGTCGGCTTCGAGATGAAGATCATGTTGTACGTATTGTCGGATACGTTTATCTCATCTCAAAATGATGCGCAACCCTTTTGGTGCAGCTGCTTACTTGGTTTTTACACCCCTCTCTGCAGAGAATTCTACCCAGAAAGAAACCTCCCTGGAAATGCTCAATTTTTATGAATTTATTTGGAGAAAGCATCGCTTCGAAAAAAAAATATTTTTAGAGAATGTCAAGCATTTTTAAATACTTGGATCTTTCATCATTGAACACTAGATATTTGAGTCTGGGCACGTACTGTAGAGAAATGCACAGAAATTCCACTAATAGAACGACTAGGAAATGTCTCATCCACACAACTGAAAGTCGCGAAACACCTTAAAATCAACTACGGATGCGGAGCTTTCCATTTATGCAAGATTAAAGAAACCAGCGTATATTCCACCGTATTCATTTTTATTTGACATACACAAATGCTTCTGGGGCTAATTGAAGTAAAAACTTGCTTAAACAGCTAGTCACGTCAATGGGCCGATAAACACCAACTGAGACTGTTTTTTATTTTATTTTATTTTATTTTATTGGTGGTATGCCTCTCAATACTATTCGTAATACCATCTTCGTATAAGAACAAACAAAAACAAGAAATATTTCTTGGACTCATACGCCATCTTGAGTTACAACCCATTTCTTTCAATTGTTCTCAACGGACATTGGACTGTTAAATCCTTAACACACACCGCTCATTAACAGTGATTTTCCGTTACACTGGTTGTGTTAAGCTGATAATAACAATACAGTATTATAAAAACTATGTTGAAGGTGGCTAAAACAACAAAATAGAAAGGAAAAGTGTAAGAAAAAGCGGGTATCGTAATTGCCAGCCAACGTGTGGAAGGCAAGCGAATTCCCAGTTGCGCGTGCGCGTGCGCGGCCGGCGCGTGACCGTGGCTGCGTGTGTGTGTTGCAGACGAGACCGACCCCGCGCGGGCGCTGGCCTGCCTCAGCGACGGGCTGGGCGCCGCCTCCGGGGACGCCATGTGGCTGCTCGACATCCCGCAGCCCGCGCTGGGCCACCAGGGTGAGTACAGCCCCTCCCCTCCTCCTCCCCCTCCCCTCTCCACCCAACGCTCGTTCGTGTGCTCTCGACCAGGTCGCGTGGTTTCATGCGGCGTCAGGGCGCAAGACACATGGCACGCATCAAATAAGCGTCATTCTCTCGTGGAGTAAGGAAATATGTTTAGAAAAGAAGTATATTTTCACAAGTAAAATGTTTCTTAAAGGTTTCTCGTATGACAACCGGTATACAGAGTACTACAACAATTTGTCTTTGGTCGCAAAATATATTGCTCCGCCCAGATTACAAACGTTCTCCTGCAAAATGACAGTTTTTGACATGTGTGACATTTCTTGTACACCGTCTATTAACTTTCATTCTTGAATTAAACATCGTGCACTCCCCTATTACTACTAACTCAAGTATTTCCTATCATGATTTAATGTATAACTACTTCAAAAGGACAATATAAGTAAAATATTAGGGATTGCCCGTACAAAAAGAAATATACTTGCATCAAAAATCAATGAGAGAAAGGTATTTCTTTACTCTGTTTTGTTTGGGTAATAAGTATTGCTGTGAGTTTATTTAAACTTGTCTGAAATATCCAATTCAATACGTACCCATGTACATTTTATGTTAAAAGATTCGGTTTAATAGATTGTAAATATGGGGGAAGGTATTTGGGCTTTGTAAAACAAGCAGGATGAATTGCATATTGATGGAGAGCTTCTGGATCGATTTTTTTCGCAGTGTTAGGAAACATCGTTCTTCTTGTGTCGTACAACGTACTCGGAATGTATAATGCATTTGGTTCGTAAAGTAAGCAGAGTGAGGTTCGTATTCCTTATTATATTTTTGTTATTTCCTTATTACACCCTGCATACATAAAACATTTTAAATGCGGAAATATTTTATGCTTTCTGATCAAACCTGTACTCTTTAATTATTAAACGAACGGCCAATGACATGAAGTTTTACCACCATTTAATAATGCTTTATTGTGGGCCCATACGAATTTCGGGGTTACACGTGTGCATAGACGGAAATGTACTCGTAGATTCTGTAGAATATAATGTAGTGAAGAAGTAAAAGGCATCTTTCGAAAATTGAAAAACAATTCTTACCATCATTGTTTCTTATCTTCCACTTATTTCTAATTTTCCCTAATTGGCCATCCTCGAGTCTTCCATTACGTGCCAAAAGATTAATATTAAGTGCCTTTTAATAGAGTTTTAGCGTAAGTGCCATGTGATAGCGGTCACGCCTTGTCGTTAGTCAGCTGCCTGGAGCGAGATCTCTGAAGCCTGATACTCTCCGTTCACGCTGGAGGTGTCAGTTGCCGCCTCAGCCGTCACCTCCTCCGCCACCTCCTTCACCAATCCCTGTCACCTGACATTACCATCGCCACCGCTTTGACCGCCCCTGCCGCCAACTCCTCCCGCCGCCATCCCTCTCCCCAATTAACCTCTACTGCCACAGCCACCTCTTCCGTTATCATCAGTGAGTCGGCCGCCGCCTCGACGTCTCCGCCGCCGTAGCCCCGCCGCAGCCGCCGCTTGGCTCTCCCTCATCGGTAGTCTGCCTGCGCGCGCGCCACGTGCCCCGCTTCTCTGCGGCACCGCCTCACGCGCGTCACCACCTCCGCCCCGCCCCGCCCCCTCGCTCTTCTTTCCTCCTTTGGCATGCGCTTGTTCACACTGCGCTTCGCCAGCGCGCACACTCGCATCACGATCATTCACTCATCCAACGGATGAAACACTCACTCACACACACTCACTCTGGCGCTCTTTCTCTCTCACGCACACACACACACATACACCAATCCACATACTATCCTACGCAGTCTCATATCTTCCCACAATTGAACCCTCACGCCCATCAATGTACCCAGGTACTAGCACCCAAATACTTGTTTCTTAACGCAAATACCGATCCAAATTACTCTCACTTCCTTCTCTTCCTCCGTTCCCCTTTCCTTTTCCCTTTCCACTTTACCTTAACTTTTCCAAGTTTCTCCTTCCCCTATTTCCGTTTGCCTGTCTCGGGCCTTCACATCTCAAATCCAGATCTCCTCGTCGTACGTACGAGTAGGGCCGTGACCAATGTAAGAATGTGACAAATGTAAGTTATGCTTTCGGCGCAGTATAGTCACGTTCAAACATCCAAAGTTTCCACATCGGTTGTCCTGTGGGTCCAGTAGGCCCTACATTCGTATTCACCACTCAACCCTGCTTTCCTTCGACGTTCGTTTCGTCCCGATTTTTCTGTCGGTGCGTCATTCTGCTCATTCAAATGCATTGTGATATGCTGTGCTGTTTTTCTTCGACTCGCCGTGGCTACGTGCTACTCCGTGGCATATCCGCTGACGTATCCTTTCGTGAATTGTATTATTCCTTTCACCGGAATTGAGAGTTAACACGCGTAATATATATATATATATATATATATATATATATATATATATTCTCTCTTATGTTTCCTGTTTATAATTCTCTTCATTACTTCTTTGCATATTTTCTTTTTTATATGAACCGTAAAGTAGGTTAGAGGGGGCTTTGAAAGCAATGCAAATCTCATGTATTGATTAATTGATCCATTATCCGAAGGGCGATTGTTAATAATAATTCCCGGGTTATACAAATGTGTATTATCAGTGATATGTGAATTTTTCAAAGGCAGTGAGCGTAAAACAGAAGGATGTAATTTTGATGGACCGTATTTAGTCGTATCCAACGCAGCGCAAGTGCGGCATTGGAGCGAGAGCGCTTGTTTGCGCGGGCCGCGCCTCCGGGCGTGCGCTGGGTGTGTGCGCTGGGCGGCGGGCAGGAGGCGAGCAGACGAGCGCGCGACAGCCGGGCCCCAGGGCGACCAGCACGGCCCGCCGGGCGCCGCACGACATACACCACGCAACACTCCCCTGCCCTTCCACTCCCTCACCGCTTTTCCGCCCCGCACTCCCTGACCGCGCCACATCGCGATTCTCCACGCCACGCCACGCACCGCGCCATCGCTCCCTGCGTCACCACAATGCTCCATCACTCCCCTCATTGCTACTTCCCGCTTCCTTACTTCGCGCTTCGCCACTCCCCGGTTCGTCACTCCCCGCTTCGACACTCCCCGCTTCGCCACTGTCCTCCTCGCCAATCCCCAGTTCGCTACTCCCCTCTTAGCCACTCCCCAACTCTTGTTCCGCCCTACCCTAACCTGCCACGTCCGCCACTTCCCTCCATTTAACCCTGCCCTGCTCCTCGCCTTTTGATGCTCCCACTCCGGTTCCACTGCACCTTCTCGCCATGCGCTCCGGGCCCCCATACGCCATTCCCCTCCTCATCGCCGCGAGGTCGCTCCCGGCCGCGATTGTTATGGACAGCACGTCGCGCTGCGTTCACGTTTGACGGGGCCTGCGCTGAAGCCGGGCGCCCTACCATGGGAATCGTGCCCCTTCAAATCCACTTCACGGAAAAATCACAGCGCTGTTGAACCAAATTGCAATCTTTTCAGCTAAATGTCCTGGCAGCTCAAATAGACTGAGTAGTGTTGTAAAATGTGTTTCTATAAGAGACATATCGGTTGACGTACGTATTAACATTTAACGTATTTATGAAATTGCAAGATCTTGATAGTATTTCTCACTACTGAAATGAGAAATACTATCAAGATCCTGCAATTTCACAATGACCTTATTTCTATTCGAAACATCGTATCTGCAATGTGCAATGTATATTTATGGGAAGCAATTTTTATGCCCACTTGACATGCGCAGCATCGATAAAATTACTGGAGTTTCCTTTTGAGATAAAATTATTATTTTATATTCTACTTTTGAAGCAAGTTAATGAAAACAATATCATTGCTTGACTTTCGTTTTGATAATTCCTTGCGTTTATTATATTCAGCAGTATTTTACGGAATAATCGTCGGTATCTTAAGGAAACGTCTTTGCGTTTGGACGTATGAGGGACGCCTTCTTTTACGGCTAGTCGGCTTTCATGTCCACTGAAATGAACACGGACTCAAAACACGGAAATGGAAGTCTTATCGCGCAAAAATCACATTTTTGACAATTTTATGATGATGTCTCGTCGCCATTGAGAGACTCAAAAATGCGTATTTTAGTCGTTGGACTGCCTTCGTTGTCGTATTTGAGGAACAATTGATCCAAACGTATTAAAACCAGGGCATAGTGTAAAGTGTTCTGCGGGGGTCATTTCACTGCATTTAATATTGTCTGACACGAAAAAAATATTTTCTCAATTATTCAAATGAGCTTAGTATTCTTAATTTCGGTGTCTGTGGAGAACATACGTTAAAAGACTGAGGATTTGCTATAACAAAATTGAAATGGATTGTGGAGTTCAGATATTTTAATCTTTTGCTCTGCGTGTTCGTTTATATGTTTTTTGAAAACATGGACTCTGGCCTTCCTCATTCGACGATCCTCTTCCACTGGGAGTGTTCCAGCCCAATGCTTCAAGTTATGTTTCTCCTCCGTGGCCCATTGGCACGTGTTGTGTGCACGTGCCGTCCTTGCTGGTTTCCGCTCTGCGCGTTCGATTGAGAAACGCTCCCGACGATGAGTGCGCGCCGCGTCTGCGTGCCTTGGGTTACGAATGTGGCGGATCTGTAACGTGCCTGTGATACCATCAACCGCGCGCGAACTCAGGTTTGTTTGTATGTTGTCCACAGCATTCTGGCTTGCTTAATTCAGGAATGCATTTGAGCGATGAGTACAATATACTCCCCGTCAAGTACACATTCAGGATGAGTCATGGCTTACGGTATTAAAAAAAACACCGACCAAAAACGCTTCGTTACCGTATAGCAGTTTCTTGGCATTAACTTCTTCTATGGTGTCCAGCAGGTTGTGTTTATTGTGAATGAATCAAAGCTCTCACGAACTTTCAATCTTTTTAAGTAATGTCGAAGGAAAAATCTTCTTAATTCATTAAGGACGAAACATGAACGACAGTCGTGTATATGCGCGATCGTTCCCCACATTGGGTCGTTAGAACCTGGGTCCGCCGTCTGGTCGTCGGAATTGCAGTGCTATTTGCAAATAACATTAATGACCTCCACACTCTACGACAGTGCTTCGATTCTTGGAATGTGCAATAAGTCCGGAGGACACACAGGCTGCGACAAAATTGAAAAATTACAAAATAAAATTCTA